CAGCGTGAAGCTGAGGAGAAGGCCCAGCGTGAAGCTGAGGAGAAGGCCCAGCAGGAGAAGGCTCAGCGTGAAGCTGAGGAGAAGGCTAAGCCTGAAGAGAAACCTGAGGAGCATGACATCAATGTTGTGCTAGGAGAAGCTGCAAAAATTGCCGAAGGTCGAGTTGCTGCTGATCTCGCTGATGCTGCAGCGCAACGGTCAGGTCACGCTCCCCTTCCAGAGGTCTCCGGGTTGAAGCACAGGGCATCTTTGAGTATGAGGATAGATGCTATTCATCTTCTTGAGACCTACATGACTGAGAATGACTGCACTGAGGAGGAGATGTTGGTTCTCCTGAGGAAGAGGCTGTCTGATGATGTCCGTGCCCCTGTTGTTCCTCGAGTTCAGCAGTTCATGGCGCGCCCACCCCGCAAAGGCCGTGGACGTGGGCGTGGTAAAGGGCGCGGACGTGGCAACGCAGCTCTTGAAGCTGCAGATGTCATTGATTTGGATGGGGATGGTGAGCCTGGTGAGTCTAAAGCTGATGGGGAGCCAAAGACGCCTGCAGCCAAGGCAAGGCCAGGACCCAAGGCAGCAGCAAAGGCAAAAGCGAAAGTAAAAGCAAAGGCTAAGGCCAAAGGAAAGGGTAAGGCAACCAAGCCTCGAGAGGATGAGCCTCAAGAAAATCACAGCGAGGCTTCTGGTGCTGTGCCAGCCGCCATGCTGGAGTCTGCTGAGGTCAAGAATGATGGTGAGGATGCCATGGTGGCGCCTGCTGAGGCTGAGGCCAAGAATGAGGGTCCGGGTGGCAAGGATGGTGCTGAGACAGAGCCCAAGACCAAGAGGCGTCGTGTTACTGGTGCAACCTTTGGTCGCAGGCCGTGCCCGTCGACCTGTCCCAAAGCCAAGGCCCGGTGGAACGCAATCAAAGATGTCTTCATGGAGAATATCTCTGACCAAATTCGCGACCTTGGTTTTGGACCTTTTCAGTGGCAGGACTATAGTTGAAAAATCTGAAGTTTGTCAATGATTGTTTTGTTTTTGTTTGCTTGTTTTATCGCAAGCATGCGGTATCTGACTATCAGGTCTTGGCTGGAATCAGTTGTTTTGATTTCAGGAGCTTTGGTGGAACACATGCGTGAAGGTGTTCAACGCCAACCCGCCGCAGGATGTCTCTGAGTACAAGGGAATGGCTGCTGGTTGCATCACTGATTTCATCGACATCGTGAAGAAGAGCTAGCGCTGCCCCAATTGCGGCAACAATTAGGTGTAGTTTCCAGCTGGTGGCCTGGTGTGCTTATAAGTTTGTTCTGCATGGTCAAAACTTGTTTTCTATCGTTGTCATGTGCTGATGTTTGAGGGTGTTCCAGCTGGCTTTTGAAACAAATGTGTGCACAGCACATATATCGTACGTACGCTAGTTAACACGAGTGTCACTCGTGCCATGACCAACATCGGGGAGCTTGGGGATGTGAAAAACAGCGGTGCACAACAGGTTCCTATTTTGCAATCTTGGGTGCAGCTGCTCTCAACAGAAGCGAAAAAGAAACACAAATATGTTTATAGCGGGTAGCTTTCCCATGGACCGGCCCATCCCGTCCAGTTTTAAGTTTCTCTTCTCCCAAACTCTCTCCTCCGTGCCAGGTCATGTACGGTCTCAAGCGGGGCCAGATTGGCCTGGCAAAGCTTGGGATTGGAGTGTATCATTCCGAAGTTCCAGGCATGAACTGGGAAACGATGTTTTTGAGATTTGAATTTGAAGGTTGACGTGCAACCTGACATGTCTGTCACAAAGACCCATGGTTTCTGCAGTGGTGCTACTGCTCAAGCGATGGTTGATGTTGTGAAGCCATGGGACCACATGAGTTGGACCTTTTCTTCAAACGCCTATTTGCACTCCGTTGCCCAAAGGTACCTTGTTTGCCATCAACCAACCCCTTGTTTGGCAGGAGCATTCCAAACCAGTCTCCAATCCAACCGAACCCATCTAAGGTCATCATACTTCTGGTGCTATTGGTAAGCTGGATGGAAGATGATGAGGGCACCCAAATGGAGTATGGACTTATTGAATATTTCTCTGGAGTTGGGCGGGTAGCTCAAATGGCGGAGATGGGGGGTATTCATGCTGTGGCATATGATTTTGAGTACTCAATGCCTAAAGTTGGCAAGCGGCGTAGCATGGACATGAACTCGTCTGCAGGCCTTGTGCTAGCAATCAAGCTCATACTTCGGTCACGCTTCAACCAGCTGGTGTCTCTGTTTGCGACATGCTGTAGCAGTTGGACACCTGTAAACAGAGGAACCGGTAAGAGGTGCATTATCACGCCGCATGGAGATGAACAAGTTCCTTCTGTTCGCAAAAGCAACAAACTCGTGTCAAGGTTCTTTGGGCGGCAATTGAAACATCGTTTCATTTCATGTGCAAGCATCATGCTAGCTGGCATTTGCTAGTTTTTGGTTAACCTACTCAAGGTCAGTGATTCTTATGCTTTTGACCGTGGCTTCTGGTGGAACCATACTACTGGAAAATCCATCCAACTCTTTGATTGCTCTTCACGATCGATATGTGTGGCTTGTACAACTTTTGTTGTCATTTCAAATCTACGCAACTTTGATGCAACAAAATGTTGGCATTGGTTCATGCTCCCATGTCGGCGTTCATGTTTGTGCGTGCTAAGATGTACAAGACCGCCTTCTGGATGAAGAAACATGGTGGCATGACGTGGAAACGAACTTGGATGTGGGGCTCGTCCCCCCATATAGAATGCCTTGACCTGGGACCATTGTTGCCCGCAGAGAAGCCCACAGAGGTCCGCACCACCAAAACATGGATTGACAAGGACGGAAAGAAGAGGTGGCAGGGGACTGACCAGCTCAAGGGAACACAGTAGCTTGGTTTATGTTCTAGCTGCAACAATTGCAAACAATTGCAACACCAACTCCGACACCCGGACATGTCCTTATTCTCCATGGTAGCCCAGGCGGTACACTTATCGCTTTGCTGCCAATGTGATAAGATTGGTTCCCCACTTCATTGCTGCCAAGCCCTATGAAGCCTTGCCTCCCGTCACTTGTTGAAGCAATTGAGTCCACCCTACTCTCCCAAATGATCAATCTTGTTCAATCTTGTTGACTTAAATATTAAGGTATCAAAGGACCATACCGTTTTGGAGCTCTTCAATATGGCCTCCTATGAGGATACGTGGGATCCATGTTGTGACTTGGAGGATGTTCTTATTTACCTTCGGGGGAGCAAGAGACTCCGCATTCCCAATGATGCCTGGAGGGCAGCTTTGCCCAAGCGCCTTCCGCTGGGATGATCATGGAGCCTTGCACGTGTGGGGGAAAAGGTTTATTGTCGTGTCTGACCACACACAGCAGTGGACCTGACCATGCATTCATATTTCGAGTATGGGGCATACAGTGTTGATGACCATATGCACATGACCATGCATGCATGCACATGACTGACCATGTGCATGACCATGTGCATGACCATGTGCATGACCACACACATGTGTAAATTAAGGTTGCATGGTCATGGCGTGACCATGAACTCCAAATCACTCGTGTGCTTTTTTTTGGCGGCGGAAATACCCGGGATCGCGGCGGAAGTACGTGGGTTGGCGGCGGAAATTTCCGGACAGAGTTTTGGGATCAACATGTCCAGCTTTTCCCTACCTTCTCGTCTTTTTAGCTCTTCTACGCTCATGGATGGGGAAGAGGTGGTGTGCTGCCAAGACCTGTCCCATTGCAATGAAATGGAGCTTCTTGCCGAGTTGGCCAGCTTAGAGGAGGGGTGATGGCAAACAATGCGATAGCCACTGTGTTGTGGAAAACAGGTGTTTAAATCGAGGCTTTCCTGGGTCACAGCCATTGGTATCAATACTAAGGGGGTTCAATATTTGAGCGATTTGTGCATCCAGGATTATCAGGTGGAACTCCCATGGCACCATGAATTGAGTGAAAGGGTCTATTTCCTTGGCATGAATTAGCAAAGGAGTTGGGGGATCCCTGAATAGACACCCTTTGCCCGTGTGCCTTTGGTCTCGTGGTTCTTCGGGTTGAAGATCACCTGTTGTTGGAGGATGCTATAAAGCGAGCTTGGTGCATGTTGAAAATCAATGTTTGGTAGATTGTATTCAATTGGCTTAGAACATATTTTGTGGGTTCTGGGTTGTTTCACAAACATATAACAAGTTTTGGGACTGGACACCAAAGGTCACAAACACGGAACTACACTGCAGCGATTCTAGTGTTGGTGTTGTTCCTGTGCATACTGAATTGTGAAAGAAGAGTGGTGGATTGAAGAACCAAAGCACAACCTTTGGTGAGAGGGCCTTCTTTTGTAATTAATGAAGACCAACATTAGCAATTGTTAGTTACTGTATTTGCTCAACACATTGCCGATGACAGTTTGAGGGTAAGATCCATGACTCAGCAGAACAGTGAACATAAGTGTTGTTCACACTTCTGAAGCAAGGTATAATTTGCCTCGAGGTATAAAATATATTTTGTAGAAAACTCCTTGGGGCGGGCTTCATGAAATAAAATACAATTCAAAGCCACTAGTGACTAGAAAGGATGCAACTGCTGTGTCACTGACGGTTTCTTTCCAAAAATCGCTCTGTAGGTGCTATTTTTGAACAGAGATCAACAAACAACAAACTTGAACAGCAACAACGGAGAATGCCTCGTACCCATAAGAAACCAAATATACAATATTAATATGCTTCGCTGCTGCCTGGACAGGAAATGAAGAAAGACTATGCCAAACTTCAGCTGCAGGAGGCTGGACATGGGCCATGGATGGAACACCGGTTTTGTAGTGAGCGGAGCTCTATAGTATAGGTTCAACATGGCATCCTTTGAACTTGAAGATGTGGCATCCCTAAACAATGATGAGGCCAAGTTTCTGGAGATGACCTTGTGCGTGCAACCCTCCTGTCATATACGAAGAATATTCAATAAATCTTACATGCATGAACTATATAGTCGTCAACCAAAGGATTCCTAAATGACCCTCTTCTGGCCCGACTCTTGGCATGCATCCGCTTTGCCAGGGCCCACCCGAGCAGCCATTGCCTGGGATTGCAAATCCGATGCCTGCGCCGAATGCGGGGGATGGCAGTTTGGTCCGGCTACCTTCAGGGATCAGTCATTCCCCGTGCACCCCAAACACAGCTGATGTCAGGCAGAGTCTTACTTTCGATGGTGCGACGCCAACTCCACCCTCTAAACCGATGGATGCCAATGACCATGGGTTTGGAGGTTTGTTGGCTGGGGTCATGACCAAAACAGCCATGAGGAAGCGGATAGACCGGCTCATGAAACCCCGAGCCAACGGGAAATTGTTGGTTCCGCAAGAATTGGCGGATCAGTGGCAGAATGGTGATCAAAACAAGCTTCTGGAGGAGTTCCAAAAGGCAAACTTTGACAAGGACCCAGTTTAGGTTATTGGTTTTCTTTCCCTTATACTGTATACTGTACACCATGGTTTTACTCCCGTGCTCTTTCCCATAATGTCCTTCTTGCAGGATCTGTTTGTCAAGAACGCCACCAAACGCATCCGTCAGCACATCACGGAGAAAGATTTGTGGGTTGATGGTGACTTTGTTTCGGAGCAAGACATGAAAGATGAAGGTATCTCAGAGTATCTTGGTGCAAGTATGGTGCAGTTACTAGTTTCTACTGTGCCAAATCGACCCTAGCATGCCAGCATGTGTATAGGCTGTTCTTAGTATTGTAGTGGTTCCATATTATTGGTCACGACTCCGAGGTCACGAATCAAAGCAATCAAAGCTGAATGCGCTAACCGTAAAGGTTGGATCAGGCCTTCACTCGAGTATGCAACTTCCAGAAGGGATGTGCAAGGTTCATGTCCACGTCCTTCCAGAAGACTTGGCCTGCCAGGAGGGACCGATATGAGAAGGATGTGAAGCTGTATTGGAGGGAGAAGAAGACCAGTGGCCGTGTGTTGACACTTGGTTTCACAAAGGCGCCAACATCCCCCCTTACACACGTACCACATGCATAGTGCCCCTGACAAAAAAATAGTTGTTGGAGATCCCTTGGTAAGTTTTTTGACTCGGCTTGTTCAGCATCCAAAGGGTTGCTTCAGGATTCAAACTCAAGTTTTGGTGGACTCTTTTGCTTAGTTCTTTCCTGTTTTGGACACGCTGAGGAAACGGAAGAGGGACCTCATTGAGCAAGAGGATTCGGATGTTGGATCCGAAGACCTGGATGGGGAGTTGGACGTTGGTTCGTGTAGCTTCGAGCATGCATCATATGTTGAAACCGCAGGCCCTACAAAGTTCTTTAATTGATAGTAATGCATTGTAATGCTGAACACTTTTGATTTTAAAGGACGGGAAAACTCTACTTCTTCATGTCTAAGTGTATCAGGTGCTAGAGGGATGTTCAGATTTTATTGAGTACTGCAGTGCAGGGTTTCTTTTCCCTTTGGGGGGGAAGACTGTCTATGTTCTCGTAGGTGAGCAACAACGCAATGAAGCAGCTGATGCACATGCAGCCGCTGGAAAGATGCTCAAGAAGATCACGTTTCCTGAGATGGATGATGATGCCTTGCCATCCACTTACTGCATTAAGGTTTTGGGCTGCCTAGGCAAATGGTCGGCTAAAATGTATGACTTGGCAGAGCAGCTCAAATCCAACTGCGCTTCCCTTGCTGTGTGTTCCCAGTTGCACGCCCAAATTAGACTCCATGAGGCCCATGGTGCTCGGAATCTTGCTGTATGGGTTTTCATGAAAGACACCGTTTCCACTTGCCTCCACCGTCCTGTATCCATCTGAGGCTTGTCGAGAAGGCCAAAACCTGTGCAAAGGAGTTGGATAATCTCCAGGAGACGGTTAGCGAATTGAACTCGCAGGGTATCTTGAGTGGATACACGGCACAGCATCATGTTCGCAAATAACTAGAAATCGAACGAGTGACCTAGTAGCTCACAATGTTGCATGTTTTTACAAGGCACCAGCGAAGCCTGAAAACGCACTTTGGAACTTCGAAGCAAAAGCCACTTGACATACAAGATTAGATGATTGGATTTGAGCCAGTATGAAAACTCTGTTACAACAAGTACCTCAGAACCCGCAAGGAAGGAAAACACAATTCTTGGTCTCGTTCTCTAGATTGGAGGCTTTCTGAAAATATTGCTGCTTGAAAGCTATTCCACGCTTGTCCCCGTGGAAGTACCTGCCTAAGGGCATCGGAAGCCCTGAGTCTACTCAGCCGTGCTCAGCCTGAGCCTTATCAAAGCAATGCCCGTATGTTTTAAACATCCACTAACTCTCTGCTTGAGGCCTCTCCTGAACCACATGCGGACCAGAAACAAGACGAAGTCTGCTGAGCCGGTATCCACGCCTGTGAAGACGCCTTAGATCTTCTCAGCGCTAGTGGGATGTCTTAGATCATCTTGTGGGATTAGTGTATCGTCTTTTTTGACACGGTACAGCTGCATGGGGCAAAATGCTCTTTTGAACATGGATAGCTTTTTTAGGAGCTTCCGTGATGTCATGGGGTGAATCATAGATGTCGAGTGAACTCGGCTTAGCTATGGGAAGTTCAAGAAAAGGAAACAACTCTTTGCATGTGCAGGTGCAATGGTTGACTGCGGTTGACTCATTGTGCATGTGTGGCAAACTGAATGCGCACATTGTTGGCAGTGCAACCATGTCATATGAGTTGAGCAGGCTTCTTGTTGCATGTTCTTTTACATCGATAGATGGGCTTTTTGTTCGCTAGGCCCACCACGACCTGGTCCAGTACTTCAACATACAATAAGTTGTGTCGCTGATGGCGTTCCTTGGCCATATTCTTTCATGGGTGTATATGCATCACATGTTCACCATGAGCATTATAACCCACACCCACTTGACGGTGTTCCCGTTCAGGCTCCTGCCAAAGTTGTTGCTGAGAAAAGCAACGCTATGGCTGAAGAGTTTGGGCCTGGCTTTGCACAGAGATCGCTGGGAACGCGGGGCAGGAGCTTTAAGAATGCCTCGCGGCAGTACAAGCTGTTGGTCAAAAAGTTTAACCTGAAACTCAAAGTTCCTATCTCCTGGAAAGTTCATGAGGAAGCAGCAAAAACCAGTAGACTACCCTTACTGAAAGTGAGCGACATGGTGAAAACCCTTCTAGCAGATTACCCTTGGGTTTTGCTTGGCGGTTGCAGCATTGAAAAATCTCCGGAACTTCTCCTAGAGTTTTGGCAATCGTACAAAAAGCAACATCCTGAGCACGCCGTCTTCGAGTACGATTTGGAGAGATTATCCAAAACAATCCCCATCACCTTTCACGGAG